GCGGGCGCGTCTTCACGCGATGCCCGAGCCTCCTGGGCGGGCGGCGGGGGAGGCTCCAGCGAGCCTGGTGGCTCTCCCTTTAAGGATATCCCTAAGGAGAGGTTGCTGGGTAGGAAGCCGTGGCTTCCTGCAAGGTTGATTCATTGCTAATGCTCCTTCAATATGTTCCTTTCCCCTAATGGAGAGAAAGCTTATTATTTAACCTCGGCCTTCCTTGGTTGACTTATGTTACCAGGCTCCTCCTTAGCCCTTTATCCTCTCTTACACATTCTGCTCACAAATGTTTGTGAATGAGTCTCATTCAACTTTAGATATTTGGGCCTACCTGGGTGTTGTTTGAGTAAGGTGTGATACTGAAGGCATGAAGGAGTTTGTTTCTGTGAACTCAGTGCAGCTTTGAGGCTTTTGGAGCCAGAGAATAAAGCCGTTTCAGTCCCTTCAGTTTTCTAGCTGATATTTGCAGTTGTGGAAAGAGGAACAGTCTCAAATAGCTATTTCTAGATCCTGTTTCTCAATTCTTGCCTCTGACATTTTCCTGCTAATGTTCAGATTTGGGGGTGGGGTGGGTAAAGATAAATCTTCAGAGTAGTAGGCTTTTCTAGAAAGAGAAAGGAGTAAAAAGATGTTCTGTCCTATCTAGGACATAGTATCTCCAAGGAATGCAAACTAGTATCTTCTCTCCCCACCTTTTTTTTCTTCCATATCTACCTGAAAGCACTTAAGTAAAACTCACTAGTTCATAGTATTGCCTTTGGGACTGCAATGGGACTAGGTTGGGCAGGAGCAATGCTTTCTTCTTTTCTGCAACAGTATAGCTTGATTCCCCCCATGCAGGAAATGCTGAAAACGTTTGGTAGATTTCGCCTTTGGGGAAGTGAAAATGGTCCTGCTCTTAGAGGACCATGCCTACAGAAACTCCTGAAGCCCTAGCTCCCCTTCTGCTTTTGATTGTGCAAGGGCAATCTTTTAGTTATGGCTTCTCCTATATTACTACACTTCCTGTGGTTTGATAGTCCAGGAACAGTTGTGGAGTTGCACCTTCCCCGTTGTCCTTGTCTTACCCTTCCGCTGCCATGATAGGACTACACAGCTGCTGTTCCCTGAAGTCATCGACTATATGTTCATGATAGGATAGAACTTGTTCTCCTCTAAGTTTTTTAATATGCTAAAGTTTTTTTTTTTTTTTTAAAGGAACAATGCAGTTTGGATAGGTTGTATATCCGAAGTTATATGGTAAGGTTGGTTGCTGTTGAATTGGATATTCAAGTTTAATGTGACAAATCCCTTTGCTCTTTGTAAGTAACGATACTCCCTTTTAGAGCTAGCTGGTGATGTTAGCTTGATAACTGTTTAGAATAACCGTCTACTATGAGCTTCCTTTTTGGAATACAAGAATAATAAACTTTACTGTGAGTAATCTGAAGCTGTCATTCCAGAGTTTGACAAAGGTGTTGGGAGTGTAAGTCTGAGAGATTCTGCTTCCACTCACAGCTGTAGTAATATAGTTAGTAACTACCTGCTGTCTTTCAGTCATTGAAGTAATATGCTTCAGTCTTATCACAGTGCGGGTGCTGTGAGAGGTAAGAGTTGTGCTCTTAACTACATAGCTTTTTAAGGCTATCAGCATTAGGCCAAATTGAAGGACCCTCATCTGTGCTGTGGGCCCTTACCCACTAGGGGCTGAATTGAATAGCTTAATCATACGGCGTAATGAATGTTGATAACTATTTTGCTATTGTCAGCATGGCTGCTGGTTTGTGGCGTACAAACTCTGTAATTCCTTACCAGTCCCTAGAGGAATGGTAACACTTCAGTTCTTAAATTCTAAGGCAATAAAAAATACTGCTAAACATTTCCATTGTCTTTACAGTTCAGTACAGCAAGTCTGCCAAATTAAACTTGAGTTTAGAAAATAGGTTAATATGTTTAGGAAGGTGAAGAAAAACAAGTCTTCTGTGCACTACTCATATGTGCAGCCTCATTGTCTCTCTAAGTTGTGAAAATGAGGAAACTAATTAAACACGAAGTTCCCTTTTTAAAAACTTATCCAAAGGTGAGCTTTTTTCTTCTGAGAAAACTACCCATGTGGGTGAGGTGGCCATTCTGCCTTAAAGAAACATACACATTCAAAATGAAGCTGAGATCTTACTCATAAATGAAAGAAAACTTTCTTTGCAAAATAACTTGCGACATGTACGAGATTTATGCTTCCAGATGAAAATATAACAAGTGTTATGTCCCAGAGTAATTCTAGCTCATTTGTGCATCCACAGGAGCGTGTTTTCTGAAGCAAAACAGCAGGCCGCACACGGGAACGGAAAGAGTTTTGCTTTGCATGTGTTTGGCCGCCTTTTCTGGTCGCCCCGCTCCTTTTCCTGCCCCCGGACTGCCTTCCCCTTCCTTGTGCGCTTCCCCTCTGCGTGGGGAGTGGAAGGGGCTGTCGCGGGGGAGGAGCGGAGCAAAAAACCGGCGCCGCCGGCTCCTCCCCCCGGGCCGCGGCCGCATGGAGAAGCCGCGCTCCCTGTCTTCAGGGCCTTCCGCATCCGTGAGGCGTTAAAGGACAGTGCTGCCCGCTTTAATACCCCTAGCGTGTGCGAGTGTCGGGAGTTTGGAGGACTGGCAGCGAAGCTTGCTTTGTGGTTTATGTGTGTGTTTGTTTTTTCAAGCTTTTAATTGACCCTGTCACTAGGAGCAGGTTAAGGGACAGTTCTGTCGGTGCTGAAACTCCCCTGACCCAGGGGGATGGGAGTGGGCATTGGATCTGTTTAGATCTCTTTATCAAAGCAGTGCCAGAGCATCTGCTTTTGTGAATTCTCAGCATCGCAGTAGTTTCATATCGGTAGTTATCATTGTTAATACAGTCTTGTTCTAAAATTTCTCTCTTTGTGGTCAGCATCTATTCCTTTCCCTGTACTCCTTTTCTAGTCATTGGTAGCTCATCAGCATTTGAACATCTAGGCTGTTATTGCAGGAGTGAAACCTTCTCTGTAGTTAAAGGAAAGTGTGTTCACAGTGGTAATCAGAAGATGTATTCACAGTAACGTTCTCTTTGCCTTCTGGACCAGAAAGGACCTTTCTTCCTTTTGGAAAACTTTCATGATCAGTTTTCTAGCTTGCTTCCCATCATGCTTTTGTTCATGAGGGATGACAGAACACTAGGAAAAACAACACATGTGTCCTTGCAACCCTAGCTAAGGAGTCTGTTGCATTGGCTGTATTGCATGGGAAGGCTGATAATATCATGCCTGTTTGTATTCAATTACTTGTAGTATTGACAGACTTCTTTTTGACCAAAAGTAAGCCAGACCTTTTAAAATCGAGTTCATGGAAGACAGAGCTCAATAAAGGAAAAAGCGTGCAGTTGTGAGCAGCAGAGATTTTGTATCAACTCTACAGTTTTGTGACAATGTTCAGTACTGCAGGATTATACTTAGGAAAGGCTTTTAATTGAAACAACCAACATTTTAGTGAAGCTGAATCTAATTTGCTCTCTTGCTTTGTATGCCCACATAACCTCTTTTAAAATCTGTAAAGAGGTCTATGTATAAACCCAATAACTGCTGTTGCAACTGTAGTGTGGTAATACAATGCTCTGAATTCATGCTTGGAATTGAGCAAGTCTGTTATAGACTTGATTTCCTCTCTCTGTTTGCCAAAGCAAGGGAACCATGTCAGATTTGGCATATCAACTGCAAGAAATTAAAAGTATCAGTGGCTTTCCACTTGCATCCTTATGTACCAATATTTTTCTCTTTAAAGTTTTTAAAAATTTCTTTATAACAGTAATTGGTGACTACCAAAATATCGGACGGAGTAGCATCAACGGTGTCTCACCACTGGCCTACCGCTACTGTAAATTTAGTCATGTCAACATCTATTCATGATTATGTGATGAATTTCCCATTCTGCATTAGTCAGTGTTGGATGGGTTCTTTTGTTGACGGGTTCTTCATAAACTGTCTAGTGTACAGTTGTAGAGGATTAATTTTTTTCACCTCTTACACTTCAGATGCTAATTAATAAGCTGAATTAAGGCCTCTAAATCTGCAGATTTTTTATGATGTAACTTCATGTAGCCACCAGTCTGCTGTGCCAGACTGTAAAGTATAAAGGATAGCTGGTGAGTGCGTGGGAATATGAAGTGATACTTCTGTTATTCCATGTCGTTTTCTGTAATAAGTGTACTGCGTATTGATCAAAAAATATTTTTCCTATTGCCAGCTCTGCATAGTAAGTGTGTGGTCTGATCCATCTGTTTCACGTTATCATCAGTAATGTCAGAATTGGCTGAGAAATCTCTTGTGGGGAACGAGTCTGCAAAGCTTGTAGAGGTGTGGAAAAATAAGCTTGATATGAAAAGGAGTAAAAACTTGTTAGTGGCAGCTAAATAAGCAGAGACATTCAAGTAAGGGGCAAACGTAGGAGAAGATGCAATTTTTGTTAGCTTTTAACTGTATCCCATTAATGACTGGACAATGGAGATTAGCCAGTCTCTCATATTTTTTTGGAACCTTGACCTGTCATTGATGGCAGGAAATTGGGATATATCCTTAACAGGGTTTCAGCATGTTAAGAAGAGGATATTTTAAGTGTTATTGTTCATCACTGGCAGGTCAAATTCATTGAATACTTCATGCAGTGTTTTTTGTAATAGTGCAAGTTCTGTTTTATCACACTATATATCACACTATATTTGGTAATAGAAGATTGTTGGAAAGGACTGTTGCTTTCATTTGTATTGTTTCAGAGTGAAAGTTATTTCTTCTCCTGAGGGTTGGCTTATTCTGCAAGGATGAAGTTGGGCAACGTGGACATTTTTAGTGTATATACAGGTTGCATAGCTGCTAAATGTTTACATCTTTTTTTCCTCTTTCC